GTGGTCCGAGAGTCGAACCTCCTGACCGTGGCCAGTGGTCCGAGAGCCAGACCTCCTGGCCGTGGCCAGTGGTCCGAGTGTCAGACCTCCTGACCGTGGCCAGTGGTCCGAGGAGTCGAAACCTCCTGACCGTGGCCAGTGGTCCGAGAGTCCAGACCTCCTGGACCGTGGCCAGTCGGTCCGAGAGTCAGACCTCCTGACCGTGGCCAGTGGCCCGATGAGTCAAGCCTCCTGACCGTGGTCAGTGGTCCGAGAGTCAGACCTCCTGACCGTGGCCAGTGGTCCGAGAGTCAGACCTCCTGACCGTGGCCAGTGGTCCGAGAGTCAGACCTCCTGACCGTGGCCAGTGGCCCGTGAGTCAGGCCTCCTGAACGTGGCCAGTGGCCCGAGAGTCAGACCTCCTGGCCGTGGCCAGTGGTCCGAAAGTCAGACCTCCTGACCGTGACCTCCGTGACCGAGAGTCAGACCTCCTGACGTGTTATCACAAACAGCATGGCAGTTAATAAAATCGGGCATTGTTACCAAGACAGGGGTGAATAGGGACACTTCGGAAAAAATCTACGACCCAAATTCAGGTCTGTACGAGGCTGACAAGGGGCATCTTCAAAACACAGACGTAACGTCAATTCGGCACAACATTAAACACAACATCTCCCAATCTCAGACCCTAGCTTAGTTCTGCGCAAGGCTACAAAGAACCACTTCTCATCCTCAGACCCTAAATCAGTTCTGCACAAAGCTAAAAGGGACCATCTCTCAATCTCAGGCCCAACGTCAGTCCTGTTCAAGGCTAAAAGTACCAGCTCTCAGGATCAAGAGGCCAAACGGCAATATGCTGGAGCAATTAGAAAAAAAAACTGCTGTCCTCAGTGGCTTTCCGTACCCAGAGATCCTGCCTGGACACACGCCTGCCACCAGTGGAACAAATGGAACATCACCCACCCTCACGAGCCGCGCCGAGCCGCGGCTGCCGCGTGGCGTGAACAATGCCAACCGCGGTGCGTTTGTAAACACACCTTATGCCGGCGACCGGCGGGCCGGCACAGGTCGGCGGCGCCCGCAGGGGCCGGCGCAGCGCGCGCCGATAGGGGGCGCTGCTGCCCAATCAGCACCCGTCCCGAGATGAACGGTCGGAGAAGCTGAGGGCCAGTCTGTCTTCTGCTAGACCCAGATTCAATCGGAGAGTGGACGCTTGAATCAACCACGTGTCGACTGGGCCGATGGCAAATTAATTGATTCATCTCCGCGTTGATGTGAGTCTGAGTCAGAGAGTCAACCGCAATGATTGCAATCATCGCTGAGTCGATCGAAATAGAGCTATGAGTAAGCGCAGATCTTCTGAGTCGGACGGGTCTTAAATTGCAACAAGCAACTTGGCGTCAGTCAACACAAGCGCCTGTACAGCGGTGGGGTCCCGTCTGGAGCTAACGGCGGCCGAGGTCCGTCAGCCCACATCCGGGGCTGACCCCGGGCCGGTCCGGGCGCCAGTCCGGCCCCGTCTGGAGCGGCGCCCCGGCCGCCGGATCTCGGCCGAGGGTCACTGGCGCGCGGCTGCCGATTTACGGCGCCGCCGCCGCTGTTTACGATGGGCCGTGTAAGCGGAGACGCCGGAGCACGATTTATCGACGGAGCGCCGCCGGCCGACCGCCGACAACCGGTCAGCGGTGCTGCTGATTTAGCGGCGGCGACCCCGCGGCGGCGCCGACCGCCGTCTTCATTACGCGCGCGGGGCGCGAGCCGGCGCGTGGTTTATGTGTGGCGGTGGCGGCCGAGCGCGGTCCGGGGCGCGCGGCAGCGCAGCGCGGCGCGCCACCGCCCGCTGCGCCAGTCTCGCCGCGAGTTGCAACCGACCGGCGGGGCGGCCGCGGATGTCAGGTCGACGCCGCCCTGGGTCGCCCGCTCCCGCCTGCTGTGCGACACCTCCGAGGTGACCGGGCGCGGTCGCTCTCCAGACCATCGGCCGCCGAAGGCGAGAGGCAGCACAAACACGCTCCTGACGCGCGACATGGGCGCCGCCCAAACATCAACACCGGCCAGCGGCTGCCGACGCCAACACGCCGCTGCGATTGTTGTGTGACAAAACAGTCGGCCCACCGCAGGGCAGACCGATCTTGTATGACGAAACAGTCGGCCCACCGCAGGGCAGACCGATCTTGTATGACAAGACAGTCGGCCCACCGCAGGGCAGACCGATCTTGCATGACAAAACAGTCGGCCCACCGCTGGGTAGGCCGATCTTGTATGACAAAACAGCCGGCCCACCGCAGGGCAGACCGATCTTGGATGACAAAACAGTCGGCCCACCGCAGGGCAGACCGATCTTGTATGACAAAACAGTCGGCCCACCGCAGGCCAGACCGATCTTCGTCCGTGTACACGGCTCGGCGCGAATTCTCCGCCATCTCGCTTCGGTGCCGTGCCTTTCTCGCCTAGTTCAGGGAACACGTGGCGCCATGGTGTGGCCATGGACCAGGGGATCTCACCATGGGCGCTGATGTTGTACTTGGGGATGGTCGGTTGCCAAAAACGTTCCGCTGACAAAACGGCTCTTGCAACGTACGCTGTTCATGATCTTCTTCTTGGAAAGCACGCCAACGGAAAGATGAGACCAGTCGATTGCCAAACACGCCTAAGTACCATCGCGACTCATAGCTTAAATCAGAGTGTTCTTTTCATAGGACTAAATACTTTCATATCCCATGTTTACCAGCCGATAGTTCCAGAAGCTTCTTTATGTTGTTCGGGGAACGGTCATGCCCCACGGGCTCTGGGGATTTCTGACCGAATGCTCCTTGTAGTGCGGAGAATCTCTGCGAGACGATGGTCCCCGCGCCGGCAGGCAGTTGAGTTTCAGTCGAGACGAAGTGTAAGACTCGATCTCCTCAGCTGGGTTTCAGCTTCGATAGTATCGATAATCTAGTTTTAACATTTTTTAGCCTACAGGGCCTGTGGTGGTCGTCCTTTTCAAAACTGGAACAGTACACAGTGCACAGATCGCCCGTTTACAGTGTTTTCAACAGTCCCAATGCATTCTGCGGTCTACATTCGCCTTATTCCCCTTAAAAGCGCAAGCCTTCTGCTTCATGATCCACAGCAGTCCTTGACAGGGTAGCTCGTCGGTCACGTTTGGGAACGCCATGGTATGGTAGATATCCTTGACACCGTTTAGTTTGCCTGAGGATCCACCTGAATTGTTCGCGGTTCATCGGTTTCATACATCGATACTGCGCGCAAGCTCTCACTGCGCAAGAACATAAAGTGAAATTTAGGGCATATCAATTAGTGAAACTACCTTATGCATGTCACGATGGAACCAGGGGTGCAGTTTCCTATTTAGTTATGGTGTGGTGTGGGGAGGGGGCTTCAACCCGCTAACATGAGCTCAATTTTAGTCAGTTTTTTTTTGCTGTTCAGCCCCCACTCATTTTTAGAGACCACGCCCCTCAGTGAAACAAAAATCTAAATTGTCCTATGGATGCACATATGTACAGTTGTGAACTAAAGACCCATTTTTCAATTTAGCAATGCATTGAAGCCTTGATGCGAGACATACAGATATCAGAAGCGAGACGATAGCGATTCTTTTCGGATCTAAGCCATGGTTGAGTAAGATCCAAGCACCTCGCGAACGCCTCGCAAGTGGACTGCCATCAGACTATTACTATTGTAAACACTGCCACAGCTCAATGCCAGAGTAAACAGCTTTAGCACACCTCTTCTGTTGATAGGAAGTCACACATCGATAGGAGCATGAGGAAGTGGCGATGTGGACAAACAACAACAGACAGGGCTATGGTTTCGTAGAATAGGTTGGGGGACGGGGGCTGAACGGGAAAAATACCAAAAGCTATCCAAAACGCACACGAGGCGGGTTTCTCTTCCGATGTGATCAACTTGCTCTACAAATTTGGGGTCGGGGTGGGTTGGGGCGGGGAGGGAGTGTTGCTTGGAGCTGAACCCAACCGAAAAGGTAGCTACACCGATAAAAGGAGCACCACGGGTTTTCCAGCCTCGAGAAAAGCTTCTTGTGATTGGCGATAGACACGCCGGTGCCGCCCTACTCTCCCCCCCCCCCCCCCTGCATGACGCTGCACCGTCACACCGGCGATTGTGACCCCCGTCGTGCCTAATTCAGCGTGCCGTGGGCTACCGATCGTGCTAATATAGGGCGGTTAGCTGGCTTACATGCAGCATCGCATGAGGGTATAGTCTGTGTGCCGTCTGGGCGGCTGGAGGGCACCATGGCAAGCCTTATGGACCGTCTGTCTGGACGTTCCGATGCACCAGCTGATAACACTGGGGACGCCCAATAGATCAATCTGCAAAAAGGACTCGAATCGTTGCCAACGGCGAAAACGCGGTTTAAGGCCGGGCACAACTACCGACTTTCATGTGCAGAATGATTTATTACCATACCAGAGACGAGATGACCGAGAGTAAAGTTTAGCCAATCACCAATTTTGCTCCGCGAAAATGCACCGTGATTATCTCACCATTACATAAATGGGCTGAATGCAGTCTTCGCGTGCCGTATAACAGCCCTTAACTTCTTCGCCAAGTAGCACGCAACACAAACACTGTGACTCGACAGCATCGTATCCACACGCCAGTCAAAACAGCGCCGGTCACAGTACACAGCGCTGCATAAAACAGCCGGCGTTCGCAACTGAATATTGTTTGCCGTCGACAAAGTCATCGTTGTCGAACGACCTCACTGGAGTCACTCACCCGCCGGCCAGGCTGCGAGCATGACACCAGCAGGATCTCTCCGGCCTCCACCGGCGCGCAGCATCTCAGCTCGTGCCTGCGTTCACCAATCGGACGACCCGTATGGGCTGTTCGGGCGGCGCACCGCAGGATACATTAGCCACAAGTACTTACCAGTGACCCATCTCCTGTGTGTGGGCGATACCAGTGGTACTCGCACATGGCTCAGTGCTCAGTGGCAGCGGTTCCGTCCGTGTTCAACAAGGCGCGTTGGTTTGTGTGGGAGCACTCACCAATGACGCAGCCCTCCGTGTCGGAGCGGGCCCAGCCGGCGCAGCAGATGAAGAGCGTGTGGTGCCGCGGCCGGAACACCTTCTCGTACCGGAACACGCGCAAGCCTCTGACGAAAGAAGTGGCGGCATCCTGGTCATGGACGGCGGGAGACGAGGGGAAGGAGGGAACCATTTGTGTCTGGTGCACTGCTAACGCCTTAATTGATTAATGTCTTGCAGTGTTTGCAACACACACACACACACACACACACACACACACACACACACACACACACACACACACACACACACACACACACACACACACACACACACACACACACACACACACACACACACACACACACACATGCACACACACACACACACATGCACACACACATATATATATATATATATATATATATATATATATATATATATATGTACATATATAATATATATATATATATATATATATATGTATGTGTAGATATAATACGTACATTATGTATATTGACGGTAACAAATTCAGCGTCCATGTCTGACATGGTTTGAGCGAATTCATTGGTTCGTGTCAAGGCGCAAATGGCACGCATTCCGGACGTCAGCGGTCGTCTTTGGTCACATGTGATGAGTTCTTTCGTCTCCTAGAAGCTTACTTTGCTTATGTTAGACATAGCTGGAAAAGGCTCGTATTTTCTAAAGTTACGAAAGCCTAACGCCTCGATGACTTATTGCACGGTTTATCGCTGTCACTCATCGAAACACGTACTATAAACAATCACGTCAATTAGTTATCAAGGCTATGAATCGGCCCATTTCCAACAAATTTGAATAAACAAGCAGGAGACCTTCGCAAGTGGAGCTCATGGGCGTCACTCGGTAAGCCTTTGCCTAATTAAACGATAATGAAGCGCGGCGTTAATCGGGGAAGGCGGCTGTCCAGGCGTGCTCGTAAACATGGCGACTGGCACCACGATAGGTGCGTGCGTCACACCCTCCCGACGCCGGCCGTGATCAGGAGGGGCACGCCTCCGTGGAGAGCGGACCCTCACAAAGGCACGCGTCCGTAGAGAGCGGGCTCTCACAGTGGCAGGCCTCCGTGGAGAGCGGCCTCTCACAGCGGCACGCGTCTGTGGAGAGCGGACCCTCACGGCGCTATGCGCTGGGTTTTACTGAAATCAGTTTCCAAAGAGGTGCATTGGGCGCAACGACACATTGAAGCATCCACCTCCCAATGAAATAATATTCATGAAACTGACCTGTGCCGAAACTTGGATATCTTGGGTTTGTCGTGATCCTGGTACTCGATCGCCTTGTACTCACACACATGCGGCCTGGAAAATAAGATACAAATGTGAAAAACTTGACCCAGCCCGACTGGGTTTCTTAAGCCCTTTTGAGAGAAATATCGCAACATTCTCTTATGGCATCGCCGTCGAAATTGCTTATGATGAGACACATGTCCATGGCTAGATAATACTTTCCTTGCAAGACAATACATTGCCAAGTTATGTTCTCAGAAGAGGAATCAAACTTCAACCAAATGAGGTTAAGATGGTCTTCCACAGAGGATTGGGGGAAATCACGTTTCCATCAAAGCACACTCTGTAACTTCGTCAGGAAACGACTGAAGCCATACATTTACAAAAGGGTAGTACATATCGTAATCAGCTGCGACCTTTTGACGCACAAATCGTGGTCAAATCAATGGATATGCGAAGAACGAGGATGGGTACCTTGTCCCATAAGATCTCCGGATCCACGGAGTCAATTGTGTCGGAGTGCATGAAACTGACCACCGGAAACTAAACTCTCTTTGGATATGCGCAAGTTATGTTTTTTATAGGTAATTCAGGACAGAAAATGTGGGACGGAACAATTTTTGCGATGTGGTTTGTTTGCCTCCCCCACGTTGCTCACAAACGGTTGCTGTGTCAGCGACGGGTGCATGGGAATAAAATTTGGTTGCAAGTTTTAGCTCTAGGTAAACATTCCAATTTTTTGGTTTACATAGCCTGGAGATGCTGTAAATGCTCGAAACATACAGAAATAATACTGCCATGAAGCACAAGATGAACTAGGATGTAACACGGTTTTGAAACTTCAGTGGCAGGTTCAAATTGCTCAGACAGGGGTTATAAGCACAGACCATTAGGGCTTACTACCTCGCCGGTAACATACTACGATAAATAAACCAGTTTATAATGCCAGAAATGTGGTTAAGAGCATCGGCCTGTCTTTATTAGGGGGGGGGGGGGGGGGGGAGTGGCGCATGTGAAAATGCAATTTATTCTTGTTGATCAATCCGTTTGCCACTGAAGTCTACTGTCATAACAGTTTTTGTCGGTGTACAAAATCAGTTAATGGAATAGAACTCGTGACCCTCCTTCCTCCTTAACTTTGCTCACTCCGCTCATGTGATATTTTGCTTACATTACGCAAACCAATGTTGTTGTAATGGGGAGATCATCGAAACAAACAGTACGAAACCTGGCAAAATCTTGATATCAGAACATTTTAATTCCCTCCATACAGCCACATGTCACCTCATTGGTGCTTGAATAGTCTCTAAAATACTGTCGTCACAGATGTGCGTGATGCCAGTAGCCTGAAAAGAAGAAAAGCGTAACCACTTTGCCCAACGGATGATTTACACATAACAAGCCGTCGCAGCTGCCCGGTCTGATTGCATGGTGTCGCCTCCGCGTATGCAATCACTTTTCCACACGATATGTTGCCTGTACGCATTTCATCACTGGCAGCTTTCCATGGCCACTGCAGTAGGATTACGTCATATCCAGACATCGCTTAGCCAGGCTTACGTGGCTAACCAGGAAACAAAGTTCTGCCGTATCATTCTTGGGTTTGCCCTCGTCGGTTCACATGCATCACACATCGCCTAACTCAGTCAAAACATCGGTCAAATATAGAAAGCAACCAAAGGCGGCACATTCACTGTCAGCAGTCCGTGATTCGTCCTAGACTGCCTCCCAAAACCCGTTCCTGGAGTTGCCTCGGAATGATACTAGCAGCTCAAATTTTGATGAGCCACGTCAGACCGATTTTAAGAAGACCTCTTCACGTTTATGGACACTGTTTCAGGCACTTTGAGTTGCAGTTGCTCCCCCTAAAAGGAAACACCATTGATAAAGCAAAATGATAAACAATTGGCAGAAACGTCATCTCACATGACTCAGTATAATCACATGACGGGTAAATTACCAGGCCAATGATGCGTTAAAAAACTCATGTCCATACAATTAACTTGAGCTCATTTGAGTTTAACGCTTGTGTCTCCCTTGTACTGTCACATTCAACCTAACTGAGCTGTGTTTGATACGGGCATGATATTTGTTCCATCGGTAGAACTTCCAAGGCAAGCATTTCATGATGCGTGAATAAGAAGTTAAATGAAAAAGTGGGATAGAAGAGATTCAAAAACAAAAGCAAAGCGATTTAAAGTAGACAAAGAGAAAGGCGCATCAAAAAATTAAAAATGAATAAAAAGTTGCCAAGGATACAATTCGAATAGGGATAAAGTCGAACGGCAAGAAGCCGATAGTTATAAAATTCGACAGGGTTCGAAATGTAATCGGAAAAGCAGCAGACAAAAGTACAAGAGAAATAAAAGCAGCATGGAAAAAGGAACAAAGAAAAACTCGATAGGTGCCAAAAACGCCAAGGAAGGAGCCCATACTGAAACATGATTCAAAGGCAACCGAGTCAAAAGGCGGTGGATGGGCGAGTCTTGCTTCAAAGGCGTAGCATAACCGTGCAATAAAAAACTTCGGAGAGTTACAAGCACTGTTTTCTGAACCGATTTTTCAAACATATCGCTCGACGCCCCTATATATTAAAGCGTACTCCTCTGCATGTGTGAAAGAACAGAGAAAAAAACAGGAAGCATGGACACGTATCGCATGGTATCGGAACAGATAATCGAGTACTGCATAAAAAACATGGCTTTACCGTTACATTACTATTCTACGAGCAGACTTGTGCCTGGTTCCCAGGATTTATTCTCGGGAACCGAACCCAAAAGAACCCAGGATCCAGTTCGGAATCAAATCAGCGTTTCACCAAAAGCCAAAACCAGCACTGTGTCGTGCTGAGAGAAGCAGCGAGAATCGGGATCCAGCAAAAACCACACTTCGGCTTGGAATGTGCACAAGGATCCAGCAAAACCAATACCCGGCGTAGAATTATGCCGAGAGATCTAGCAAGTGATAAGATCCATCCCGGAACATGGCCAGGAATCAAGCAAGCACTCGGATGCAGGCAATAATTATTCCGAGGATCCAGCGAGGATTGAGATATAGCACAAAGCAAAAGGAATCCGCGTGAACCATGAACTTACCCGGAAGCATTGTTAACAACAATTGTGATTCGCACAGTGCACGTATATGTTGCTCTTTGCCCTTGTTCATATCACTGGTGAGTATGCCAGAATGGCATATGCGTGCGGGAAACATCCTGACTTGGTGTTTACGAATCAGCCAGTAAGAGAAAGGACCTTGGATATCGTGTTTTTTGAGCAAATCATTAGAACCAGAAACCAGGGTCAGGTATTTGTGAGGAAGCAATGGAAACCATGATCCAGGCCCTGGTTCTTGTGACAGAACTATGGGGGGCCAGAAACGATGGTCCGGTGTTTGCGAAGGGACCATTAGGAGCCAAAAAAATCATGTTTGTATCCCGGAAAAACCAGCTCGGACCACGAACCAGGGTGCAGTGTTTGTAAAACATCCAATGGGATTCAGGCATTAGGGGTTTATGAAAAAACAGCCGGAACCAGGATCCAAGATCTCCTCTTCAGGAGGGGAAGTGAAACCAGTAACCAACATTGGGAACCAGGCAGGTGTCGGTTCAGGACCGGGACTAACGAAAAGAGGATTGGTAACGGGCGCCGCCACCGTGCGCTACCTGCCGCCGTGGGCGCCTCTGTTGCTCGCAACCGTCCTGACCGATGACTAGAGAGAGCATTTTCAGGAGCGTGGGCACAGGCTAGCAGGGCGCTCATGGCGGATCAAGATCGGTCACCTGATAGCTTCAGTGCCCGTTGCGCATGGTTCGGTCGAAAAGTCCTGAGGGCTGGCGGCCGCCGGGAGCGTCTGCCGGGTGAGCGCGAGCGAACCCAGGTTAGAAGGCCCAGGGATGTGGGCTGGCGAACCCTGTTGGATCCGCGGACGCATCTAGTGCGCCCGGGCGACATTCCCTGTCATGCTAGGCGGCATATCTCGGTGACGCTCCTGCCATAACTTTTAACTGCCTGCTTGTTTACTTTTATGCTAATCTGCTTTTCTGTAAGATGGCTTCTTACCCTTTGGATCGTTTTCCAGTTTCACTTTTGCCCTTTTTGACTAGATGCCTTTCTATTTTTTCGGTTCGAATTGAATTCTTTCCACTATTTACGTTTGACGTTTTTATTAGTCCTCTTTCCATTAGGCTATCTCCATTCGACTTTTTGTTCTGGAATCGCATTTCATACCATGCATGGCTGTACATATATTACATTAGAAAGCAGCATATTGATAGGCTCACTGCTACCCTCAATTCTTAACTGGCTTCACCACCCAACTTAGTTCGCCTTCCCGTCTACAACAGCGGTAAGAGGCCTCTGATGCATTATCTGTGTTTCGAACACAGACGATCATCATTCAAACATCGGGCGTAATTTCTCGACAGCTTCCTGTTGTTGAATAGCTTGCTGACGTAGCGCCTGCTCCGACCGGCACCTAGATTTACGGCTGGTCTCAAATGAGTAACAAATCGGCCAAACCTTCCGCTGTCGTGCGAATGTTGCCGTTGGGCCATCCGTTCGAGCATTTGTCGAGCTTTCTCTTTCGTGTAACTGGTCAGAGACAAGCAGTCCGAGACAAAATGAACACGCGGCATTCAAAAACGAACATCGATGCAAATGTTTTGATCTTTTAAGACACAAAGATCGTTGCCAGGACGACCTAGCGCCCATTTCATCACGCCTGCCGATCAAGACTCACGGCTCTAATCGCGACGACAGCGCCCTCTACAAAGTTTCAACATTCGCATTTGCACACCAGATGTCTGCACAAAAGTCCCCGTCAAGACAGACCACGTGTGAGGCGACAGCCACGACGCTGACGAAATCTTTTAAGAGCATTGACACACTGACTCAGCGTTTCAGCGGTGTCAAGGGGGTCACAGTGGTTACGCCAATTGTCCTGGAGGTCTGATGCATCTGATGATGTTGGTTTACATTCTCGCTACTTGGACCATGTGCTAACCAGCGACATAAGCCTGCTGGACCTATGGCTGCTGGAAGGGGATTGCGCTATTAGATGACATTAGAAAATTGTTTAAGTTCTGTCATAGAATGGTCGCAAGCACAGGAGTATGGACGGTGAGAGGACCATAGACTCAGCTTTAGTGATAATTTGATATTAACCCTG